CGATATCTACGATAACCAAACTTTTCTGGTCGCTGACTCTGCTGGACGCGTGGAACGCTGGTGGACGCTATTCGTCGCTAGTGGACGCTGCCGCAAAGCATGAGCGCAGCCTCAGCTATTATCCGCACCAGGAACAGTGATACCGTGCTATTCTGTATCCAAAAAATGGGGGAGGGCGTGGCGTAGTTGAGGGTGGCGTAGGGCGCGTTTTTCTTGGAGAGTTTTCATCGGAGGCAGCTGTCACTCAACCTCTCGCTGGGTGAGGATATGAGTAAAAATCTTTCAAGTGAGAAACGTAGCTGCAGCCGCTTTTAAATGGAGTGTTCGGCTACGCCCTCTACATTCCTGGATATGAAGAAGAACTTTATTCTGAGTGGCCTTTTCAGATCGCACCGACTTCCTACGTGAAGAAGCCAGGCTGTATAAGGCTCTCATGCAGGACTATATTCCCAAACTGCCTGCTATCTCAACCTTTGGTGAGTGACTAGAGCATTCCTGTTCCTAATGAACAGTGTATGAGGGCGGAACGCCCAAAAAGTGGAATAGGTGTGTTCGGAAAAATGGTAGAGAAACCAGAGAATTTATGGAAATGTAGCTGATTCTAGCCATCAGTTCAACAGTCAACTTTCGAGATTGTTTGAGATAGAGGTGAAACAACGTAAGTGAATGTAACTGTAAGGCTGATTTCATACCTCGCTGCAGCGCCCATCATCGACCATCAGCGAACATCGGCGTATCGAGCGCGTCAGCGTCAGCGACTAGGATAGCATAAATATCAATTTAGCGAACGGTCGCGATTACCAGCGTCTGCTAGCGTCCACCAGCGTCCGCCAACAAAGATCAGCGCAGTACGAAGCGGTTGCTCACCCCACAAGCTTTCACGACGCTTGATCCAGCTGTCCCTCCTTCGCCATACTCTACCAGCCCTCTGCTACCCTATTCTCCATATTCTACACGTGATCGCTGGTAGACGTAATCGATATCCATACTTACCTTGTTTCCGAGACGCTGTTGGTCGTTGGCGGCCGCTTGTGGAAGGTTGTGGACACTGTTGGATGCTGGTAGACGCTAGATTGACACCTACACGTTCCTAGTAGCTGACGCTGACAGACGAAATGCTGCGTCCACCAGCGACAAACGCTCGTTGGTTGTCGCTGGTGGAAGCAGCCGCAAAGTATGAATGCAGCTGGTTAGCTTGGTTTGCTAGGTTGCTAGGTTTCCCTGCATAAAGAGCTTGTGAGCCGGTGAAGCGCAACTATTGGACGAAGCTTGCATCAGGTTCTGAAGAAGGTCCTTGCGGTTTTCAACCTCAGATATTTAGAGCGTTCATTAGCATATTGGCACGCTTCGCGGCCAGAGTTGCTATCCCACAGCGAGCCAGCGCACGCACTGGTAGCGATTGCACCAGCTACGCGGCGAAAAAGCTAATTACGAGAGCACCCTTGTCGTTGTCGTCGTCTGTTTGGCCCGACCCACCTTCATTTCTCGCGCCTGCTGGCCTACTCAGCCATAATAGCGGAAGACTCTCCAAAGAAGGTAGGCAGGGAATAAAGTA